ATTGTTTGATATTTGAGATTGTACTCTAAACTACTAATGAGGTCTGCAAATGAGTCCTCTCTGAAGAGCGAATTCGAAAAACTTCTTAATTCATCTAAAAGGTTAATTATATTTAAAAGTCGCCCAATTTTTTTCTAGATTACAGACGACGTCTATTGGCGTTCTCCCTTAACTGTACTGTGCATTGCCAAGTGGGTTTGTAATAAAGACACTTGTCACTCATTCATAAATTCCCTCTATAGGCAATTACTTACAATGCACATCAATGCTTGCCATCGCTGCTGCATTGCCACATTCATTACTGGCTTCACATTTGTATTGACTAGCTTCATTCCTGCTAATGTTCACAAGCTTCAACACATTTCCAGCAACACTTTGATTATTGGGCTTAATCCAAAACACGTTTGGCTGAGGCATTCCAGATGCAGCACATGTCAGATTTATAGTTTCACCTTCAGTTATATTCTGATCTTGAATTGTTTCGATAGTTGAAGGCACTGTGGACAAACACAAAGTTAGAGACTTTACCAAAATCAAAACCTTCAGTCAGTAAATATTTTTGTAAATGTTGTATTCATTCACCCCATTTTTGCGCAAAAATACATCAATATCTTCAACACATGTACAATAGCAGTTGCTGCGGACCCCAAAAACAAACTGGTTGAGTGATTGCATCCAAAGTATTCTTCATTTTTTCCTTCTTTGGTTTAAAGCAGCCATTGGGAAAAAAAAAAATTTAATTGGACTCAACGTTTTTGGCCGCTTGTTTGATTGGGTGACTCTGGTAACCGTAATGGAACTGAATTTACGAAAATGCACATCTCTTAAATGGAAATGCTTTCTTGTGTTTTGTACCTACATCATCTGACAAGGACAAGAGCATAGCTAAAACGCTCTAGTCAATATCTCTAAAAACCCCTTTTCTAACTCTACCCTTTATATGTCCTGAGTCAACATACAAAATGATTTGTTCCAATATGCCAAACAGCTAAGCCAATGATGTAAATTGGCGAGTAAAAGCAAGAAAACAGTTTTACAGCTTCAGTATGTACAGTTAGGCTTACCATTCACTGTCACCATAACATATGAGCTGACTCCTGATCCTAAGGAGTTGTTGGCCACACATTTGTACATGAACACTCCGCCCGTTGACACGTTTTTTTTCCACATCCCTAAACGGTTTACGTCTAAATCAGCAGTGCCATTCTCGAGCAGCTGGTATGATGTCACCAATGGATTAGCATCAGCTGAGCAGTTAAAGCTAATAATGTCATCCTTACATGCTTTGTTATCCATAGCAGATGATGTAAATTGCACATTCTCTGGTGTGTCTAAGAGAATTACAGACAAATTGTGTCCAAATATTGTAGATGGTAGATAGCTCACTGCAATCATTTTTTTGCCTCAGGTTATACATATTTCGCATGGAAATTGAAATTTCTGTATGATACAAAACACTAACTCTAAGTTAGACATTGTTTAAGCTGAACACCTTTTTTTTTTCTTTTTTTTTGCAGACAAAGGCCAAACTATGTCTTACTGGGGAATTCACGGTCTTTTGAAATATTTGCATGCACAGTTTGAAGGTTTTAATCAACATAGCCTCAAAATCTGGCAGAAGAGCAAATTTAGCCAAGGAGAAAACCTCTTGCTGGTAGAATCGGGAAAGTTATTCAAATACAGAAAGTAAAAACCATGTGACACTGAGACATTGACGAAAAAGGCGTAAACGAGGGTGGAAATTGAGAAAACATTTTAACTTTCCAAAATCCGCATGCGATGAAACGGGACATAATCAAGTTCAAAGACGCTAGAGGCGGTTGTAGCCACTTTTAGAGAAAGGAAAATATTTTTAACGTCGTGCCATTGTTTCAAGAATGACGAGTATTTTCCAGGGCTGTGTGCAGTCCTAAGTGCTGACATGAAAATCGTCGCTTTAGCAAACTGAGGCATCTTTCAATAACACACTTAGTGCGCCTATGTTATAGCGCATTTCTTCCCGATTCTTTGGCTTGAGGATTGATGTCCTTAAAGACGCCCTGAAAGCGCAAGAATATCTACTATCATCTACTGGAATGCAATCATTAGTTTCCCTAAATTTGTCTGCAATCTTGCTGTTCTCAAGAATGCGCAAATCGTTGGTCCATCCAGGCCAATGTGCAACGATGGTAATTATGACTGCATCAGTGTCATAGAAAAAAGGTTGAAGGTTGGTAGAGTAAAACTGTTCTCTGTTAATAAATGAAATGGTATTGTACTTGTTTGGACCTACGATCCTAATATGGGTGCAATCGACGCCCCCGATCACACCTTTGAACCAAGCAACATCATAAGACCTTCATTTGATGCCACTTAATTCATCAGGAAAGACAGGAATTTTTCTTTTCGTCACGAAACTGTCCTTGACATCCTGTGAATGATGGTGCATGTGGAAAACACTGGGATGCCAAAAAATCCAGTCGCATAATATTTCACAGCAATTACGACTTACTGCATGATTGTCAGTGCGATATGGCAGACCTCTTTCTCTTTGATATCTGAGATCGTATTATAAACTTCTAATGAGGTCTGCAAATGAGCTCTCTCTGAAGTAAAAGCGAATTCGAAAATCTTCCAAATTCCTCTAAAAGGTTAATTCTATCTATACGTTTCCCAATTTTTTTCTAGATTACAGATGACGTCTAGTGGCCTGCTCCCTTGACTGTCTGAAACACGTAATCCGTACATTTCAAATTGGCTGGCAATAGAAGTGCTCCATAAACAGAGTCTAAACCAACCTCCGAGCAGGTCTAAGTCGTTATTGTTCTTTCAGCGGTGGTTAAACATGTTCTAAACACGATTACGGACGATCAGTGTTCAAATAACCGGTTTCCACAGTTTTAAACATGGGTTAGACGGTGACTTTCATAAATGCTGTTTATACTTCCTTCAAATAATTGGCCCTTAATGTTTAAAAATGTAGTAAGTCTTTTAATGTACATAAGTCGGTGTAAAAACAAAACAAAAAATTCAATGGATGATTTAAACAAGCAGTAGAACAAGATCGAGTTCTATATGATAAATATCATAACGATGATGTCAACAATTTGCTCTGATCCTTTGTTGTCTGAATGTATTGCTAATTGTATACATTAATCTGTTTCACATTACCTTTACCTTCATTTCAATTTACACAAATTATGCACATGTAATGAAAGCTACCTTCAGCGAATGGATTCACATAAACTTTAGCGAAGAAAGATACTGATATACTTACACTGCACACCAACGCTTGTCATCTTTGTTGCATTGCCAAACTCATTACTGGCTTCACATTTGTATTTACCAGCTTCACTCCTGCTGATGTTTTTAACCTCCAAGTTGTATCCACTAACACTTTCACCATTAGGTTTCATCCAATACACCGTTGGTGGGGGAACTCCAGATACATTACACATAAGAGTCACATTGTCACCTTCAGTTACATTCTGATGTTGTGTTATTTGGATAATTGAGGAAGGAACTGTGAAATGGAGAGTGAAAATAAGGAAAGGTTTACATGCATACAGCAGCTGGTCACTGGCCTGTAGCCAAACGTCATTCTAAACTTCATTCTAAGCGAACATTTCCCATTTTGCCGTTGAGTCTCAAAGTTCAGCTCTTAAAGGGAAAGTACGGTCTAGAAAAAGTTTACTTATATCAAAAGTTCCTTACTTCCACTGTCCTAACTGGCTATTCCGTTAAGCTAAAAGAGGTTTAGTTGCGAACAATTACGTTCCAAAGATCGACATTTTAAAATTGAAATCCGCCATCTTTGTTATGACGTAGCAATAGTCAAGCATGCTAATTAAATCCCTGCTGAAGTGGTTGTAAACAAGAAAACAGCGGCGAGGGGGGCGAGGGGGGCGAGGGGGGCATTTTTATTTCATTTCAAATTCTGATAAAAAACTGTCGGATTTTAGAACCGCTAACGTGAAGGTGCGCCACTTAAGATCTTAAGTGCAAAGAAATGACAGTACATGCATTTAACGTCAACAAACTTACACTGAACATCAATTGTTGCCATCTCTGTTGCATTACCACACTCATTACTGGCTTCACATTTGTATTCACCAGCTTCATTCCTGCTAATGTTTACAAGCTCCAACATATATTCACTACGACGCTGATCATTAGGTCTCAACCAAGACACCGTTGGTGAAGGCAACCCAGATACGTTACACATCAGAGTCACATTGTCACCTTCAGTCACTGTCTTGTTTTGCATTGGTTGTATGGATGAAGGCACTGTAAAAAACGATAAATCAAAGTACGCGTTTGTCAGTCAACATGCAGATGAGCTAATTCTGGTAATAAATCGCGATTTTTTATTTGTTTCTCCCAACAATTGAAACGGAAAATCGCAAATAAAAGGGTCTCTTGCTAGACCTCTGCCTGGCAAACATCATTACAGCTGGTAAGGTGAATAATTTTGAATACAGACAGCCTCAACCCTCAAAGAAAGCTGGCAGTACACAGTCAAAATGTCACGACTCGCATCAGAGTTGGTATATCATTAGGAAAAGGTTATTATTTCTTATCTATTATCATTATTAAAGTGGTCTATTTAACAATTATTCCACTCGCGCTTGTTGGATATGAGATGACAGATGGCCAACGAGGCGCGTAGTGCCGAGTTGGCAATAATCATCTCATATCCAACAAGCGCGAGTGGCATAATCGTTTTATTTAAAAAAAAAAAAAAAAACGCTCTCAAGATATCAGACAAATCTTCTCGACTTTATTTTGTAAGAAGAAAACGGATGTTACAATGTACAGATATTAGATTACGGTATATTGGCTCATATACCATAATGGTTAAGCCAACAAAAAGTCTTGAATTGCGTTGTCCAATGATCCAGTTTTTGATAATAAACATTTTTCGCAGACATCGTATAAAACCATAAAATTCAATCCTACAGTCACATAACAAAATAAAAAGATCAAGGCTTACCATTCACAGTGAACGTAGCATCCTTACTATATGCTGATACCACAGTGTTATTAGCCCTACATTTATAGACAAACACTCCTCCACTTCTTAATGTCTCCTTCCACATTTCTGAAAGGCTGGCATACATAACAGTGTCATTCTTATACAACTGGTATGACGTCACCGCTGGCTTAGCATCAGCTGAGCAGTTAAAGGTGATAGTATCACCCTGACATGCCGTGCTGTTCACCACAGAAGTTGTCAATTGCACATTCTCTGGTTTGTCTAAAAGAAAATAACATCACAATCCCTAATTTGAACTTCCATTGATTCCAACTGGTTGCATGTTAAATTTCACAAAACACTGTTTGTACATTATCTACCTTCCTTTAAATCTTACCGCACATGTTAAGGAGAAATACTGTGCATTGCAAACTGGGTTCACAGTAAGGTTCCTTGCCACTAATTGAGTTGAAAACTCACATACCGAAATGCATGCAACATTCAGGCAGTTACTTACAATGCACATCAATGTTTGCCATCACTGTTGCATTGCCACACTCATTACTGGCTTCACATGTGTATTCACCAACTTCATTCCTGGTGATGTTCACAAGTTCCAACACATTTTCAGCAACACTTTCACCATTGGGCTTAATCCAGGACACTTTTGGTTGACGCATTCCAGATGCAGTACATGTCAGATTTACAGTTTCACCTTCAGTTACAGTCTGATCTCGCATTGTTTCGATAGTTGAAGGCACTGTGGACAAACATAATTAAATACTGAACCAAAATCAAAACCTTTAGTAAGTATATAATATATTTTTTTGTAAATATTGCATTAATCAAACACATTTGTATGTAAAATACATCGAAATCTTGCACACTCGTACAATTGCCGTAGCTGGGTCCCCTGTAACAAACTGGTTGAGTGATTGCATCCAAAGTACTCGTCGTTTTTTCCTTCTTTGGTCACAGCAGTTATTGGGAATGAAAATAATTTAACTGGATTCATAGCTTTCTTTGGTTGCCTGTTTGATGAGATGACTCTGGCAACGGTAGCGGAACTGAATGTACAAAATGCGTTTCACTAAAATGGTAATGTTTTTTTTTTTCTTGTACCTAATCATCTGACAAGGACAAGGGCGAAGCTGAAACGCTCTTGTCAATATCTTTAAAAAGCCCTTTTCTCACTCCACCTCCACCCTTTGCATGTCCTGAGTTTACATATAACACAATCCGTTTCAATATGCCAAAAAGCTAAGCAATGATGTAAATTGGTGAGTGAAAGCAAGAAAACAGCTTTACAGCTTCAGTGTGCACAGTTAAGCTTACCATTTACTGTCACCATTACATCTGAACTGACTCCTGATCCTAAAGAGTTCTTGGCCACACATTTGTAGGTGAACACTCCGTCGTTTTCCAAAGTCTTGCTCCACATACCTGGGGCACTTGTGTTTAAAATGGCAGTTTCGTTCTCAAACAGCTGGTATGATGTCACTGCTGGATTAGCATCAGCTGAACAGTTAAAGCTTATCATGGCACCCTTACATGCTTTGTAATCCATGGCAGATGATGTTAATTGCACATTCTCTGGTTTGTCTAAGAGAATTACAGACAAATTGTGTCAAATATTGTAGATGGTAGAGAGCTCACTGCAATCAATTTTTTTTCCCTCAGATTAAACAAAAGTACGCATGGAAATTTAAAGTTCTATATGATCTAAAGCACTGAGGGCGGGTTATTTAAACGAAGTTTAAGTTAGACATTGTTTAAGGCAAACAAGGTGTAAAAGTTGTTTTGATAGTTTTTCCACTTAATTCAACAGGAAAGACGAGAATTGTCCTTTCCGTCTCGCCTTGACATCCTGTGAAAGATGGTGCAGGTAGAAAACCCTGAGACGCCAAAAGACCCACTTGCATAAAATTTCAGAGCAATTAAGACTTGCTGCATGATTGTTGGTGCCGAGTGGCAGAACTCTTCTTGTTTGATATTTCAGATCGTACTCTACACTTTTCACGTGGTCTGCAACTGAATCCCCTCTAAAGAGACAGTGAGTTCGAAAATCGTCTAAATTCCTCTAAAAGGTTAATTCTATCCATAAGTTGCCTAATTTTTCAAGACTGTGGATGACGTCTATCGGCGTGCTCCCTTAACTGTCTGAAACAAGTAGTCCGAACATTTAAAGTGGCTGGCAATGAAAGTGCCCCACAAACAGAGTCTAACCCAACTTCCAAGCAGTTCTAAGTCGTTATTGTTCTCTGAGCGATAGTTAATCAAGGTCTAAACATTGGTTAGACGATTACTTTCACAAAAGCAGTTTAAACTTTTTTGTTAAATAATCGGCCTGAGTGTTTAGAAATGTAGTAGGTAATTCAATGTACATAAATCATGTAAGAATAAAACAGAAATGAATGGATGAATTGATTTAGTCAAGTAACAGACCAACACCGATTACTTTGCTCTGGCCTTTTGTTGTCTCAATTTATTGCGAATTACACACATTAGCTTGCATACATTGTTCTATATTACCTTTACCTTCATTCCAACTTATACAAATTGTGTTCGCGTATGTCATACATGTAACAAACCCTACCTCCAGTGAATGGATTTACATAAACTTTAGAGGAGAACATACGGATACACTTACACTGGACAGCAACGCTTGTCATCTTCGTTGCATTCCCACACTCGTTACTGGCCTCACATTTGTATTCACCAGCTTCACTCCTGCTACCGTTTTCAACCTTCAACGGGTTTCTACTAACACGTTGACCATTAGGTGTTATCCAAGACACCATTGGTGGGGAGACTCCAGCTACATTACACATGAGAGTCACATTGTCACCTTCAGTTACATTCTGATGTTGTGTTATTTGGATAATTGAAGAAGGTACTGCAAAATGGAGAGTGAAAATGAGCAAGGGCTTGAATACATACAGCAGCTGGTTACTGGCTTGTAGCCAAACATCATTCTTAGCTTCATTCTAAGCGAACATTTCCCATATTGTCGTTGAGTCTCAACGTTCAGCTCTTAAGCGACGAAGTTTTCGCAATCGAGTGTACATAAAAGTAAACTCGTAAAAATGCTGAGTTTGCATGTAAAGTTTATTAAAAATTGGGCTATTTTGTTTACCATTCACGGTGATAGTAACGCTCATGCTGTATTCTGATCCGACTGAGTTGTTGGCCACACATTTATAGGCAAATTCTCCTTCCTTTTCGAAAGACTTGCTCCACATTCCTGTAACACTTGCGTTCAAAATGGCAATTTCGTTCTCAAACAGCTGGTATGATGTCACTGCTGGATGAGCATCCGCTGAGCAGTTAAAGCTGATGACTTTTCCTTTACACGCTGTGTTATTCATAGCTGAACTCATTACCAGGACATTCTCTGGTTTGACTGAGGAAGAAAGTAACAATTAATGAATACGTGTGGCACGTACAAAGCCCTCCCCTTACCCTGGCTGATGAAACGGTTACACTTGTCCATTACTGACGTTTCCTTCAGCACTGTCCAA